ATGGTTTTTTATTTGGGGGGTTGCTGCAAGGAATCCCCTTCAGCTTTATTCCACATAAAGCTATTAGATATCCTTGCAGTCCATGCCTGTGTATATGTGTGTGTGCTTTTTTTATGTGTTTTGGTAATTCTGTAAACAAATGAGTGGGATCTGGGCAGATAGCTATAATATTCGAACTGGGGGAAGCTCTAGGCTAACTTAATAAGTATCGCATTAGAGCGAGGGAATGGGAACTTGGTTGTTTGATGGAGGCGATGGTTGTGTTTATCCTTGATGCGTTCAATTTACTACGTTGTCCTGTCGCTGGCAAATAAATATTTTTATGGCTTCATTCCCATTATTGGTCACTCATTTCACTCCGACAATGTGTTATTAGAAAAGGGTCTATAGTTTTTTAGTCAAGTGGCAACGATCTTCTGTATTAAATATAAAGCAAACTGACTTTTAGTTGTTTAACCCGTCTGTTTGTCCCACAGCAGCACTTTAATAGTCTCGCTTTCAAATAGACATAATTATTTGGTCCCAAACATTCAGACCCTTCCTGAATTTGACCAGTGTTGAAATAGTTTGGGCGAGCGAATAAAAAGCAAACCGAAAAAAGGACCCCATTGACGTAATAAGCAATACTTAAGACCTAATGCAGGGTATAAAATATGCGCAGCATTCGCAGTCACCTCGCTCCTCCGCCATCGCATCGAGTATCCAGGATATTCAAGGATGCCCAGGACAGCAGGCACACCCGGGACACCCGGGACACAAGGGTTGCCCGAGCAAAGTCGTCCTTTTTGCGCCAAACTCCTTTTTGCTACCCGCTGAAAACGGTCGCCTGCAGTGCGCGTTTTTCTGTTGCCGCTGCTGTGATTTTTGATTTAAGCATAATTTTGCAACAATTTTGCCGGGTTCTTTGGGAAGGGGGACGGACTGCCCGCTGTGAGCTCTGAAAAATTTCAAACATTTCTTCAAGGGATTTGCGCAATTTTCCACAATTTTTTTTTTTTCTTCCACTTTTAGCCCAGCCATCATCTGTCTGCCGGGGCTTTCCTTTCATTTTCTTTCCTTTCCTTTTTTTTTCCTGTATATTACTCGCATCTAAATGGTTGGCAAATAAACAGACGAACATTTTGCATTTCCATTTCATTGCGTTTGTCTTAAGACCTCTGTCTGAATGTCTGTGGCAGCCTCTTTCGGTTTTATTTCCTGCTGCCATTGTCAACTCGGCGTATGATTAATGCGTCAACGAAGGGACTGCACTGAGCAACCTGAAATGACACCCTGAAACTTGATCTCTCCACTTTGGCCCCACTCCTCCAATTCCGACCCATCACGCCCACGGCCAACCCGTTTAATAAATGACATCAAAAATTAAAATTCACCGCCGTAACGTTATTCAAATTCAAATTTACTAAAGCAATAGAGAGCGATATGCATCTCTGGTTGATGTATTTCAAAAAAGGCGAGCCAGCCAACCTAATTTGACACTTGCCACCACTTTAGCATCTACAAGGACGAAAAAAATAAATAACAGGTTTACCCACGGCGGAAAACTGGAAAAGCCAACACGGATCCATGGCGTTGTTAGTGGTAACGAGTCAAGTTTAAAGGGGTGACAACCACTAGACATGTTTTTTTTTTCCAAAGCCAAAACCAAACGCTTCGATGGTTACGTCCTCTAATGAAGGGATTATTAAGCTGTGCGAAATCAGGGCATTTTAAAGGAATTTCTAATTACGCAATGGTAGAGGTAAATATGCATTTATCTTAGATACCGACAAAAAACCAATTTCAATTTTTAGCATTTTAAAGGTAATATGCTGAAGCTGTGAAAATATTTTACTTGTTGCGAGCTATGCAACCCTCTATTCTATGCTTAAATCATTTTCGAATGCATTAGCATTAGCTGTGGGATCAATTTTGGCATCGCTGACTGTTGGCAAACATCATCAACTGTGACAGGGTGGGATGACACACACCCACACACCCACACACCCACACACCCGCACACACACACACTGCTATACTTAGCGCATAAACCCCCAAATAGCCTCCGCCTACCGCTGAAAAGTATGCTACATGGAAAAATACGGAGATGGGAAACTTCAAAGCCAGCCCTTGGCAATTTTCAATTAAAAACGCCTACTACGGACGACGCGACTGCTGCTGCTTCTACTGCCATAGAATTGTTGTGTTTTTGTTTCGCTTTGTTTGCCCTGCAAACCCTGCCTGTGGCAAAATTTTCCACCGGAAAACTTTGCTGGAAATTTCTGGATGGGCCGTGCCGCGTACGCAGCTTTAATGTCGAGCTGCTTTGAGCCATTCTAGAAAATATCACGACATGGATTTGCACTCGCACTGGATGGAGATTACATAGAAATGTGGCCAGAGGCAATGTGTCAAGTGTCGCAGATTCGTCTGCCAGGCCTGGTTTTCCATTCGCAACGAACTGGTTTCCCCAAACTTGGTCAAATGTGTGAGCCTTACTCTGTGTGTTCCAGCAGCTGCTCAGGAAGTTTTTTCCCCACTCGGTTCTGTTTCGGTGGCTGTAATGTGGTACATTAGCCTAAAAAGGGGTTTCTAAAATTGAAATTCCAAAAACGCCAAAAGGTCGGCATTTTCCAAGGCCTTTTTCTTCAGAACCTGGCTTAAAAGGGTCACAAAGCTGACAAAATAAATTTTTTATACAGCTAATGATCATCAAACTTTGTAAAAATGGCAAAAAATTAAATTTACAATTATTTAGAATGTTGTGATAAGAAAACTGATTTTTTTTAGTCAAAAAATCATAGAATCGATTTTACCCAAAAATTCAATATTTACGATGCGTCTTTTCTGTATAACTTGGTCAAAAATGGTCCCACGACTAAAAGAATTACAGTTTTTTACTCCTAATTACCTATACTAACCATCGCTATCACTTTTTGACGGACTTTGAAAAATTAACTTTTGGCCGAATTTTCGTCTTTTTTGTAAGGGGTAACATCATTAAAATTTGCAAAAAATGGCAAAAAATTAAATATCCGAACTTTGAATACAGATCGATTGGAATTTAAATAACAAGCTCAACGATGTATGACATTCCATATTTGGACCATTATTTCGAATGTTGTGATAAAAAAACTGAATTTATTTATTCAAAAAATCATAGAATCGATTTTACCCAAAAATTCAATATTTACGATGCGTCTTTTCTGCATAACTTGGTCAAAAATGGTCCCACGACTAAAAGAATTACAGTTTTTTACTCCTAATTACCTATACTAACCATCGCTATCACTTTTTGACGGACTTTGAAAAATTAATTTTTGGCCGAATTTTCGTCTTTTTTGTAAGGGGTAACATCATCAAAATTTGCAAAAAATGGCAAAAAATTAAATTTCCAAACTTTGAACACAGGTCGATTGGACTTTAAATAACAAGCTCAACGATGTATGACATTCCATATTTGGACAATTATTTCGAATGTTGTAATAAAAAAACTGATTTTTTTTAGTCAAAAAATCATAGAATCGATTTTACCCAAAAATTCAATATTTATGATGCGTCTTTTCTGCATAACTTCGTCAAAAATGGTCCCACGACTAAAAGAATTACAGTTTTTTACTCCTAATTACCTATACTAACCATCGCTATCACTTTTTGACGGACTTTGAAAAATTAATTTTTGGCCGAATTTTCGTCTTTTTTGTAAGGGGTAACATCATCAAAATTTGCAAAAAATGGCAAAAAATTAAATTTCCAAACTTTGAACACAGGTCGATTGGACTTTAAATAACAAGCTCAACGATGTATGACATTCCATATTTGGACAATTATTTCGAATGTTGTGATAAAAAAACTGATTATTTTTATTCAAAAAATCATAGAATCGATTTCATCCAAAAATTCAATATTTACGATGCGTCTTTTCTGTATAACTTGGTCAAAAATGGTCCCACGACTAAAAGAATTACAGTTTTTTACTCCTAATTACCTATACTAACCATCGCTATCACTTTTTGACGGACTTTGAAAAATTAATTTTTGACCGGATTTTCGTCTTTTTTGTAAGGGGTAACATCATCAAAATTTGCAAAAAATGGCAAAAAATTAAATTTCCAAACTTTGAACACAGGTCGATTGGAATTTAAATAACAAGCTCAACGATGTATGACATTCCATATTTGGACAATTATTTCGAATGTTGTAATAAAAAAACTGATTTTTTTTAGTCAAAAAATCATAGAATCGATTTTACCCAAAAATTCAATATTTATGATGCGTCTTTTCTGCATAACTTGGTCAAAAATGGTCCCACGACTAAAAGAATTACAGTTTTTTACTCCTAATTACCTATACTAACCATCGCTATCATTTTTTGACGGACTTTGAAAAATTAATTTTTGACCGGATTTTCGTCTTTTTTGTAAGGGGTAACATCATCAAAATTTGCAAAAAAAAGGCAAAAAAATAATTTTCCGAACTTTGAACACAGATCGATTGGAATTTAAATAACAAGCTCAACGATGTATGACATTCCATATTTGGACCATTATTTCGAATGTTGTGATAAAAAAACTGATTATTTTTATTAAAAAAATCATAGAATCCAATTTTTTCAAAAACTCAATATTTACGGTCTTTTCTATATAACTTGGTCAAAAATGGTCCCACGACTAAAAGAATTACAGTTTTTTACTCCTAATTACCTATACTAACCATCGCTATCACTTTTTGACGGACTTTGAAAAATTAATTTTTGGCCGAATTTTCGTCTTTTTTGTAAGGGGTAACATCATCAAAATTTGCAAAAAATGGCAAAAAATTAAATTTCCAAACTTTCAACACAGATCGATTGGAATTTAAATAACGAGCTCAACGATGTATGACATTCCATATTTGGACGACTATTTGCAATGTTTTTGCCTAGGAATCTCTAGATTTTATGGTGGATTATAATAATTGGGCACACTATTGCAATATGTAAGAATATTTCCTAATTCTTCCCCATCATGTTGCCATTGCAGTCACGCACATCTCTGGTGTCCAGTTCCGAGGGCGGCATCCTGGCGGAGGGCGAGACGTCCAGCGAGGACGACCAGGAGGAGCACGTGGAGGCGGAGGACGAGGATGAGGACGATGGCGACGAGAGCAGCCGCGATTCCAGCGACAATTCGCCGCCATGCGATCTGGGACTCATGGAGCGCCTCCTGGTCACCCATCCGATGTGGTTCCTGCCGGGCATCCAGCGTTCCGGGGCCGTTCATCTGCTGCAGGGCAAGGAGGAGGGGGTGAGTTCAGTGATAATTATTAATTTATTGATTTAACTTAATATGGCAATTTGGTGAATCGCAAAGCGATGGCGCCGATTGGGTGCGGTAAATTAACAAACACATGTGACCACACAAATTTGCACAACAATGAGGGCAGAAAAACAAAAATAGAGGGGAAAAAAATAAATAAATGGGGGCTCATTCATACGCTGCAAAATTTACATATACAAATTGCAATCAATTAACGAACAGCGGGTCCTGTGCGATGTCCTCTGATGTCCTGCGTATCCAGCAAAAACATAAACACACACGTGGCGGGGGAAGATTCATTAATATTACGACAGGACAACAATGCCAAGCCCTTTTAATTGTAAATGTATAAAGATAAACAAAGAAATGTAACCAGGACCACGACCAGGACCACGACCACGACCAGGACTAGAATCGGAACTCTGCTGCTGCGTTCGCAAATTCATTGAAATTTATCTCGACTCGAGCAGCAAATGGTAGACAATGGGTGCAAGGAATGGGATTTGGACAGGAGAAGAACCATGTAGGATGAGCAACGGGCACCCGTTCACAAAGGGCGGGAAAAACAAAGGCCAAGCCGGCAATGGTCAGCAGGCAGGGATTGATAAAAAGGAGCTGGAGCCGGACTATAGATGGTCCATGTCCTGGAGTCTGCACTGGGGAAAAATGGGCGATATCTGTGCCATCGTTAAATAGGATAAATAGGAGGATAGGAAATCTGAGTCTATTGTGCATAGAGCAAGGCCTAAATTATAAATTAAATCATATTTTTAGGATATACTAAAGCCCCAACCAAATTTGTACGCAAACAATGTCGTCATTTTTCGCAGTGCACACAGAATGGACTGACCATTTTGTGATTCAAAGCCTTTTGCATGGACAATTGAAATTACGGCAACCTGGGTGGAACTGGCAGATAGAATGGAACAGAACAGGTAATGGCTGAAAGCCAGGATAAGGTATACAAGGGTATACGATATAATGGAATGTCTAACAAATTGCACAGATTCAATAAGGCAAAGTCTCTTCCCAACTTGAACTTGTATTCTAAGCCAGCAATTATCACGTGTTCGCCGATTGCTCAGGAAACTCATTAAAGTCGCAAAATGCGCACCCCTTTTTTACAGATTTTAATCAGTCTATGTAAACAAAATGGTTTTAATTACCCACTTTTGGAATCTTGAAGTTAGTATTCGAAGCGTTCTTCCATTAACTTGAAATGCAGAAACTCAATTATTGATCATATAATTTTATATACTTCTGAAAAGCAATAGACGCATTTTTGAGATACACTAGAAAAATGAGAAGGACACGCATCCTCTTTATTTGAATGAATATCTTTTCCTGGTTTCCTCTTTTTTCCTGCCAGCTTAGCAATTTTCAATCGTTGAACGCGCCGTAACAATGGCTCATTGATTGCAACGTCCGTTTGCCTCTTGAAAAAGCCCACTCCAATTTTTACTTATTGCTCCTCTACACTGCAAGAAAATGAGGCATTTTAATTAAGTAGGTACTAAACTTTGTTAGATTCTAAACCTTCCAGTTTCACTTTCCTAATGCTTGTGCTTTATTTAGACAAAGGCTCAAACCCTTTCTGTGTTCAATATTTCCGACCATTCCGAATGCAGTTGGTGAAATTGTATAGTAATATAGTTAAGTGTTTGTTGTTTTGTTTTTTCGCAGTACATTTCGAATTTGTGGGATGTTCAAAAGTTGTGCCCCAACTTTTGCATTCTGCTGCTTCATTCTTGCTTTCTGCTGCTGTTTCAGTGCTTCGTGCCTCGGAAATTGTCTGCACTTTCCACCTGCCACCAGCCACGCCTCCTTTCGCCACTGTTGCCCCTTTTTTTCCCCGACTGGATGCTCCTTTTTTCCATCGATTGCTAATTGCATGCGTCAACGGTAGCGAGCGATGCTGCCTCAATTATACGGCGAACGCTTTGGAAAAGTCCTTAAATCCCCATTAGGATGCAGTGCTCCTCCTTTGCCATTGTTTATGCGTTTAATAAAAAGCCATTTAATTGAAATTGAAGTAGTCCCCATCTCTGTCCACCTGGTTGGCAATGGGAGTGCCATCATGCCCGGTTAGCAATGGCTTCGTGTTCGCTGTATCTGTACATGTGTGTAGTTTGTAATTAAAAATCAATCAATATGTTCGAACTGGACACAGTGCATTGTGGCGTCATATGGTCAGTGAAAGAAGTGCGATCCATTTGCCTGCCTGGTATTTTAATTACTTGTTGTTTGGCCTGGCTTGCCTCCCAATCGCATCGCATCGAAGGACCAGAGTTTAACAGATTTTTCCCCCTGCTAGTTTGCCCATCTCTGCTGATATTTTTCCTGTTCCGGATACCTTTCACATCCGACTGCCCTTCGCCATCAATCATAAATATGCGTGGAGCAGGGGGCGTGAAGCAGGGGGCGTGGTCGCATGTGCGTATGCCTCGCATTTCCATTTCCGCCCCAGTTCATGTATATACGTATGTATTTTTTTCGCTCCCTTTAGCCACGGGATTTGTTATGCCGACCACAGAATGTAATTAGCAGCAAATGTCGATGCTTTATGGACCAAACGATGGCCATGGAGTTGGATGTGGGCGTTGGACGATTGGTCAACAGCTGGGGCAACCATTTAATGTCTGGGTAATCGGCCGAAGAGGGAGCTCCTTTGGGAGGAGGGTGGCGGGTGGCGGGATTGGGAGGTCAGTCGCGACATCATTAGCGCTCGTCACCTGTACAGTGAGCAATGGATATTTGATGACCCTTCAGCAGATTGAATTTCTTCATTAGCCAAAAATGCTCAAGAGTCACTCGATCGAATTCGTGGCCATTTTTTCAACGAATATTTTATGGTAAAAGCCAATCACTGGGGTCTTGTATTATTATTAATTTATTTAACTTTATATCAGCCATGTTTGCTGTATTTTTAATTCCCTATGTTATTGTTTTTTCGCCGAAATAAAGCGTGTTTTTAATGGAAAATCCATTTCGCGCAAAACTAAGCTTTCTCTGCTGACAGCTGGAATTTTAATTCCAAAAAAAGTGTTTGCATTCATGGCAATCGATTCATTCATTTCGCTTTTTTTGCTATCTGTTTTTTGAACTTTGCATTCCGCCGATATGAGTTTGATTTGGGAAAAGCAAACATCCTTTGATCCCCGCAACGAATCCTGTATATATTTGTTTTGCCATGCTCTTGAACTATTTTTTGGCTGCTTTATTGACGCCTTGCTTTTGATTTATGAATTCATGGCTGAGCGGGCCAAAATGAACATGTTAAGCTGCTGCTGCTGCTGCTGCTGCTGCTGATGTTGCAGTGCCACGCCCACTCGGTTTTGGCCAATCCACATTGACATCCTTAAATGGCCAAATGCTTTTCGGCCAACAGGATGGCTGAAATGGATGGGCGCAAATGCGGAACACAGTGAAATTGAATTTTTTCGGCTGCATCCTTTGTTTGGCATGTGTTTCAATGACAATGCCATCAAAACGGTTGGGGTGCTGTTTATTTTTTGGTCTCAGCTTACATGGCAAAAAGTCAGACAATGTTCCAAAAAACAGGAAAGAAAAATGTTAAAAAACATACATACATTCAGGCAGTAGCCACATAGGCGCAGACAGTTTTTATTTATCACCCAGGCGCACATCGCCACATGGAACGGGCAGGTGGAGTTGGATTGGGTGGCAAATGGCCATCAACAGCAGGCACGCCGAGAGTCAGTCAGTTAGCCAGCCAGCTGATGAGGCGATAAGGGAAAGCAGACAGTCGCAGGATGGGAAGATGTCCATCCAGGACGACGAGACATGTGTCCAGGCCAGTCCAGTGCGATTCGATTCGTTCTCCTTCCAGCGCGCGAGTGTGGCCAAAATTATATTAGCAACCACATGGCAAGCCAAGTGGGAGACTCCAACCAATTGAGGAGATGTTGCAGCCTCAGGATGTCGTATTGACGTGTTTATACGGGGGTCGCACTAAAAAATACTTGTTTCAACCTTAAGCTTACATATATGAATATTGCGTGATGAACTCCTTATCTTATCGTAAAATATTTCCAGGGCATTAAACTTATGAAAAGTGCCAAATTACTCGTCTACTTTTGCGTGGCTTTTTCTAAAGGGGGTGTACAAAAAGGATAACCAGCATCCATCAGTCGGCGGAAAAGTTGGCAGGATCGAGTGCAACATTGGCAAGTGTGTCTGACTGCATTTTGGGCAACACATTGGGCTAATGAATTATTAACAAAAATTATAATTGAAAGCCGTTTGGCTGGCAAATGAGTTTAATGCACTTTGTCCTGTTTGATGGATGGATGTTGGGGTTGCTGGTGGTGGTGGTGGTGGTGCTGGAACCCAGCGGAGCTCTCTTGTCCGGCCAATGATGAAAGGACTGGGGGCTCACGAGAGTCGAACGGAAATAAAGGGAAATCAGCTTAAGGCGGCACAAAAGGGCAGGAGTACAGTGGATTGCGAAGGGAAAAGCCTCGACTCTTGAACTGCAAAAAGGGAATCCGCTTACTGAGGCCATTGGCAGGTGAAAGTGAGAGGTTGGTGGGGGCGAAAACGCATAAATAAGACGGCACAAAATGCCAGCAGATTGGGGTGGTGGTGGTTCCACAGCAGAAAGACCAAAACACTGGGCTCCAAGTCGACACGACTTGGTCTCTCACAAGCAAATTGAATTTTCTATGCAAATTAGGCTGGTGGAGAACCACTTTTCCCCGTTGGAACGAAAGTCCAACTAGTTGTGCTCCATAATTTCATTTTGTAGTTCATTTTGTGCAGCACCATGTTCTAAACCATATTTAAGAACGTACCTCATACAGTCTTATAATACGCGCTTAATTGATTGATCTTTCTACAGTTGAAACTACATTTATAACCGATTTGAAATCTACACTTTGGCATCATAAATTCTAAATCACTTCAAATGTACTTAACGGGTGCCCAGAAAATCATAAAATGCAATTCCAGAAATGACAGTCGTAGCA